GTTGAATTCATTAGTCCACCATTCAGAACCTGGAAGAACTGGACGGCCGTTTCATCATAGTATGGGACTACTCAGTAGTGCGCATCCACAACATTTGAAATGGGTTTTGATCATAAAAATATGTTAAACAAAAAGTGATCATTAGAAACTAAGATTTATGGAGTTATGAAGAATAGTAATAAAAAGCTGAATAGCTACTTTGTATTTTTGCAGAACATCATAGAATTATACATGAAAATGCATTCATATCCGATCGTCAGTAGATGGTTATCAAAAATCATCACATTCCGCTTATTATTATTATTGACTAGTTTCAAGATGAAATGTTGACCTGTACATTTCTAAATTGTTATTTTCAGAGCAATCTAGAAGGTTATATCATGTATTCCACAAACGATGCACCTGTTTGCCGACAGAGACTGAACAAATCCAGTATTACATTGCAAAAACAGAATACTAACAACAGTTACAAATCAGGCGTTTACCATCTTAATCGTTATTCCTTAACTACATGCAGTTGATAGCAACATGTCTGGGGAATCTATGTCATTTGTTGAACTGAGTAAAATCATAGTTTAATTAGATCATATTCATTTTCTCTTAATTTAACTTTAAGAAAATGGTGGGAGCATCCTAAGTTAGACCGTATAAAAAATACAAGATTCCACTTTACAAAAAGATCACTTAGTTGATAATTATTAATGATTATTCAACTTACTTTGTACAGAAATTCGGAAAAATGTTCTCAGTTAATCTTTATAAGGATAGTACAAATTTAATGGTTGAGGTTAGATAAGAAGTTATTTAGAAATACTATACTGACTAGTAATTCAGTATAATTAGGTTATGAGTAAATTTGTTATCCGGTGATCAGTCGTGTTTATTTTTTCTGTTGTTGACAGGACTATTCTATGTAGCTAATTGAAAAGATTAGGTCAGATGATTATAATTAGTCATTATTAGTTCAAGAGTTAATCTTTTGCATTTGTTTGATTGAGACCAATAAAAACGTGAAATCACTGTTTTTGTAGCATTCTAGAATAAAATTCTTCAGGAGTGTGTATCTATGAGCCATCGAGTGATCGGACCAAAGACCCTCAGATTTGTTTCATGTTTTCTTTGGGAAAAAGAGTTAATACATTCTAATTCACTTGGAAACTAGAAACAAACGAATTCAAATCTGTTTCTTAAAAAAACATCATTTTAAGTCATTAGTCCTTTTTATAATCAGTAAATCTTTCAAATGTATTATTGTATATAACCTGTTGAAACCTTCACTGTAAAGCATAACCCTTCTGTATAGGCTTAGAAGTTAATATTCGTGGGAAACTTGATGTTAATATCAACCAAAACAAATGTAGTTTTTAATATAAAGAATTCATGATAACTGGGAATTGCATATGTGATTTCTTTTAAAATACACTACTTATGAATCCCTTTGTTGTTATCCATGTATTTCTTTATTAATCTCATCAATATATTGTATGACGAAAATGTAATGTCCTGCAACATGTAACTCTAGAACTAAGATTTTCAACAAAAAAACACAGTCCATTTGATTTTCTCCAAACTGTAAATAAAATCTGTCATTAGAAGTCATTGTATTATGTTCGTTGCTGAAACTTTTAGCTGCATTCCGTACACTTTCCAGCTATTTACCGTGTATCTGACTAAAATATTATTTGATAACATTTCAGTTATTTTCATTGTTAATTGGTTTTCAGCGTACTTGTTAAATTATTGAATTTCTAAACGATGAAAAATATCTGATAATATCATATTATCTAATTCCTAATTCTGTGATTCGGTCCTATCAATGCTATTATTATATGAGAACTAGTCTTAATGACTGGGAACAGGTGCGTCTCCTTAGCAAAATGATCGAGTTTTTATTATTCATAAAAAATTAACTCCACCTGGAGGCCTTCTGGGGCTACTGCCGGTTCCAAACCCGAATAAAGGAGGAGGGTTAGGTATAGAGTTGGCGACCTCAGCCCGTAGAAAACTAGCTAAAAAAGGCTAGCCAGGAAAAATACTTCAAGCCATTTAAAATCTACCCTGGGAGTTAGAAGGTCTTCATTTAGAAGAGTTATGACACCTTATGGGGATAGCCGAGTTTCATCGAAAGTCACGACGCTGATGCCCCTTCTGACAACCAGATCAACCATTAATTTAGGTGTATAGAATGCTCGTACAATGCGGGGGACCGGGAGAGTCATCCAAATTGCTGCAGAAATAAAAAACTTAGGGATCTTAATGACTGATATTAGTTTAACAATTTACATCAGTGAATTTGTTTTCATCAAAATGACAAGAGTTTCAAGCAATTTTCGTTTTCTGTTTCAAAATACCTCAGAAGCAAGTAAAATAAACTCATTGAGTATCTGCCTGTGTTGAGTGTAATAAGTATAAAACTATGAAAGTGAATATCATTTGACAAGTTTCCTTGTAACTTATGGAATGATTTTTCCCAAAGTATGATTTATGAATACAGTGAAATATCTATATTATAGACTCTTAAATAATGAACCAATCTGATGTTTATAACCGTTTGGATGATATACATACATTTTCAAACAATAAGTAAATCAACATGAAAAAGACAATCTAGTCTATTTTTATACCATGTTATATTTATGAATTGGTAGTTCGATGGATAACTGTTTCATTTTCTAAACTTTTGACCCTTATCTCATGGTTATTTGACATTATCAACATCAGTGCATTTTTATGTTTTTTCCTCTGAGCTGGATGGTTCAGTCATGGAGCTTTCATCGTTCTTCTTGACGACATCGTCAGTACTTCTACCTGAAGTTTGTACCGAAGATGTTGTTGAGAAGAACGACGAAAGCTCCACGACCAAACAAAACTCCATCAAAATCATCCACCTGAGCTACAAATCCTCTAGATCATCCCGACATCAGGGTTTATGATTAACTAGTTAGATATATTTAATACATCATTATCGTATCGAACAACGTTTCTGATTACATGAAATTTAATTTAATCATTTATAAAGTCGAAAAAGCAAGCATTATATCTACATGTATATTGTAGATTCGTATACCAGAAATAATTTAACAGAAAAACATAGAAGGTATACTTTTGAAAGGTGTAATAAAGATGAAGAAAGGCGACTCTAAACCCCTCCTCATAGAAGACATTCTTTAAGCTCAATAAATTTTACAAATCATTCAAACTGGAAAAAGTGTCTACTTTTTTATTTCGATCAATTAAGTGGTCGAATTCTTAGATAACTTTTTAGTTTTATTTAAGTTTCATTTAAAGCAATTATTCCCTTTGATAAATTTCGACAGGGTTATAAGAAGAGAAAAACTATCAGAACTATGTGATGATATATTAGTGCAATACATTTCGAATAATCTAATCACACACAATATACTTAGTAAGAACATTTATGTATAAAATTAAAAGATAAAACATTAACACCATTGGACGCTGCCTCAGTGTTCCAGTAGGTTAAGCGTTCGCGCGCGAGACTGAAGGCCCTTGGTTCGAGTCTCGGGGGTGAGATCGTGGATGTGCACTGCTGAGGAGTCCCGCAATAGGACGAAACGGCTACCAAGTGCTTCTAGGTTTCCCATGGTGGCCTAACATCAATCGGTTCATGATCTCAATTAAAGACCTAATAATCTCCATAACCCTTATACTGATAAAGTTAGAAGGTCGACTAGACTAGAAATGGAGGCTAAGAGGAGACAAGGATAACAGAGAAATAATTTGGAAACGGTTTGAACCCTCATCACTTTGGATAATATTGCCAGGGTACGTTTAAGGTGACAACGAGCTCTTTTTGAATACACAGAGGGGGTTTGAATTTTCGGATGGCTAAGGATTCAATAAACCTTAGTAAACGCCGTTTTACACTTTTGTACAACACTAAAAAAGCCGAGTGAAGATCAATCTTATGACATGTTTCAGTAATGTGTTTGGCAATAGAGGATGATGGATGTTTATTCTCTACTCTTATTGAGTCGCTTAAATTTGTTAAGGTTACCAAAAAGTGGATAACTGTATTTTCTATCACCTAATCATCTGTCAATATTAAGCTGTATAATCTATAAAAAATATACAAATCTTATCAATTTTATTGATGAAATGTGTGAACCGATTCACAAAAGATTATTTTGCACTTTTCTATCTAGGTACTTCATTTAAACTAACTTCAAATGAACTCTTTGATCTTATTAGATCTTATTATTTACATCAAAGTCAGAATTTTCAATGCAAATGTCATGACAGTTCCGCTGTATGGGATGGAAACTTTGAGAACTGCGAAAACCATCATCCAAAAGATACAGGTGTTTATTAACAGTTGCCTACGCAAAATACTTCCGATAGATTGGCCAGACACTATCAGTAACAACCTACTATCGAAAATAACAAACCACATTCCAGTGGAGAAAGAATTCAGGAAGCCGTGCTGAAAGTGGATAGGATAAGCTCCTACTTGGGATCCTCAGGGCCAAGTTTTAAAGACGAAGACCAAAGATTACATTATGTTAAGAAATGGGGACAGACATGAAAAGAATGAATAACAATTGGATAGAACTAGAAAAGAAGGCCCGGGTTAGAGTGGTTTGGAGAATGCTGGTCAGCTGTCAATGCTCCTTTGGGGGTAACAGGCGTAGGGAAGTAAGTAATTTACGTTTAATGTATATATATATATAAGAAGGGGTTTTGTGGATATTATAGTAATAATAGTAGTTAAGATCATGAGTTAATTGAAGCTAGACCACCATGGAAAACCTGGAAACACTGGACGTCCGTTTAGTCGTATTGTGGGACTCCTCAGTGGCAGTGCGCACTCACGATCTTGCCTTGAGAGATTCGAACTCATGACCTATCGGTTTCGCGCAAAGGAGTCCGACAGTAGGACAAAACGGCCGTACAGTGCTTCCAGGTTTCCATGCTAGTTTAGCTTCAATTGACTCATGATCTCGACTATTAAATATATATACAATAAAATTTGAACTTACATTATTCACCGACTTATTCAAATTTAATGTGGTACAATTATCTTCATGAATATTTTGATTACATCTATTTGATTTCATTCGATTTTTTACGGTTACATCACTGTTATTGTTAAATGATTGTTTTGTTCTATTATAGATAGTATTGTTTAATTGTTGATTGATTTTACCACTGATCTGTTCATTATTGTGTAATTGAACTAAATAAATGAATAGAACGTATAAGATAGAAATAGATTTAGTTATCATTGAATCAGTTAGATAAATGTGATATTATATGGGAAAAATATGATTTACATGTACCTATAAGTGAATTAGAACAATTATCTTAGTGTTGTTTTTACGGTTCAGATATTTATAGTGTCATTGCCTTCAATGATCATGTTATGTAATAAATGAATTAGTTATTCACAATTCATTATTAGATAATGCTTAATTACACTGTACATTAATGAAAGTTATGTAACTGAATCACCTGTTAATATATTACCCAAATTTTATTCTTCACTTATACATAAACACATATTGTATAGAAATTATTCAATGATAAGGGCAGAAAATGTGAATAAGATAAATTAAACTTACTTTTTAGAAATTGATAACAGGGAAGTTCTAATTCATTACTAAATGTATGTCTGTATGTATGTAGGCGTCAATAAATAATACAATGTATTAATGAATTGTCTCGATGGTTGAAATTGTAGACTAAGTCAAATTTAATTTAACTAAAACAATATTATATCAAGTGTAAATTTATGGATCAATTTTGTATATTTCATTATTGTATTCCCTTTTTGATTTTAGCCAATAGTGTTGTGTACAATATGATCGATTGAAATTCCCCACTCTTAGTTGTGTTGATTACATAGGCAATGGTTTATGATCAAAAATTTAGGAATTTATCATGATATAAGCTACCAGTGAAAGAAGAGAAAGATGATAGAATAATAACTAGAGTCTTTCGAATTTATCATACACTTTTAATGACATTAAGATCAGAGGTAGTGATGTGTTTTCACTAACTCTCTGAAACATGTAACATAAGTTTGTTATCGAACATTATGGTATATCGTCGTTTATGTTACTGGGCATGGATAACCATGAACATAAGTTTGACTAAAAAAGGCATAAAATAATGAGGGTAAGGAACACAAAGAAAATCAAAGTACATTTAGAAGCGATCAATAAAAATATCGAAAGAATATAAAATCATGGCTCTAGTCAAGTAAGAAAGCAATGAAAATATATAAGCAAACCGTAATAAAATATCATGTGTAACAATCTATTAAGGACCATGTTAAGAAAACAACTTGTTAGTCACTTATTGAACAATTCAGACAGTTCACTGTCCTTTGAAATCTGTGTCACTGGTGTAATGAAAAATTTAAAATCCAAACCATTTATCTGATTGGAAGCAGCTGATAATAAACGTCATTTCAAGCCCTTAGTCGGTGAGGTGAAATATGTTTACTTAAAATTTTGATTCATACAGCTGTCTAGTCATAACAAATGATGCTAAAAGGTCTACATTATTATTGAAGCTCTTAAGACGACTCATTCAGAAAATTTTTCATCCTAATTTCATATCGTTTGAAAACACTGATTACTCATAGTTAGAGACTAGATTTGTCTTTTGATATTCCATGTCTTAATGGAATATAATATCCTGTAAATAACAATCATATATGTTACACATCAGTGAATTTACTATGAAATCTATCTGCTTACCATTTCATAGAACATAATGTCTCTTCAGTTCATTTCTAAATCAGCTACACAAATCTAGATTTCTTGATTTTATGATTAAAATCATATCAATGAAATTTAAAGTTAGAGTCAATTTCTGTCATCTCATAACATGATTCATTATCTCAGAAAAAGTCTCATATTTAAGTCTACCTTAGTAGTCTGATAATTTCATTATGAAAATTAACAATTAGTTCCAATTTTAAACAAAAGATTGTAATACAGAAGTAGATTGTTCCATTTTAATTATTTCATTAAATTTGATCATGACATTGATATAATAAGTGTTAACTACATCTACTTAGCCTCAATAATTCCTTTAGAGACAAGGTTTAGTTTCAACGATTTGAAAATGATTCACTAGATCTTAAAAAGTGGTTTAATATAATTGTAAGTTTTGTATAAAATAATGATTCCTTTTTACATGATGATGGTGATGACCGATTTTGAATTTCATATACAATACGGTTGTTTGTGCTCACCTAGTTCTATTTGGCATTCATTGCGTTACTTCAGGGATTCCTAGTTTGTATAATAATTCGGATACTTCCAATTAATACAATAAGGTTACTGAAATCCAACATCTATCTTGTGTGTTTTTTTAATGAGCTTGAGAATTATTGATTTTTTAGGCGATAATATTGAGAGGAAATGAAGTGATTTACATGCGAAAATAACAATTATGAAATCGAATCAACTGTAGAATTCTGTTATAATAATTTCCTTAGGGTCTTTTTGAACCATAGTATAGTAACCATGTACTATGAATAGTAACTTAGGGGATATAATTGACGAGTCGTATATTCGAATGAAGTAACTATTTAGTGCATCAGTGGTTTTCAACAGTTCTTCATATGTGAGTCTGTTAATGATAAAAACTAACTTAAAATTAACTTATTTATAAAATGAATTAAATAGCATGGATACTCAAACAAATACCAGAATATATGAGGACTGTCATACAAAAACAACCATTTGGTTGCGGACACATTGAGATCAAAATGTTTTTCGTCTCCATCCTATAACAGACTGTTAAACGACTAAAGTTGGACGTGAAAACTACTGAATGCTTGCACAATAGCCTGAAGCAGAAGCATCCTCAGGAAGACTTAAATTTCCTGGATTTGAGCACCGATAGGGTCATGAATGTACACCGCTGTGAAGACAACTTACCAATGCTTTTAAATTATCTATAACTTCTTAACTGGAAACGTTCTCTCATGCTAACTGTGGAACTAAAGAGCACTGAACACTTATTCCGTTGTACAATGATACTCCTCGTTGATAAATATCTGAAAACTGTCCAAGTGTTGAGTCTTAAACTTCCAGGTCTAGTGAACATCACTTTTCCTTTAAGCCATGGATTGAGAATCTAACAGTAAGCTAATTGAGGAAATTCAACCATTTCGTGATTGAATGAATTATATATGAGTGTAAATCAAAGCAGTGAATCAATCGGAGCTGGAAAGGAAGATTACAGGACCCAAACTCAGTTATCTACAGTAAAATTGATAAGTCTCGCAAATTGAACGCTTTATTCGTTTCCTAAGTTATTCTGTAACCCCCAAGCCAGAACTATATAGCGACCTGAATAACGCGAGAGAAGACGCAAAGTATGCGAGAAGCACTTTACTCCAATGTTTATTTTAATACGGAAAATACAGGGTTTATATAACATTTTAAATGTCCTTGGGTTACTAGAAGATTCTGGAATGCTACTAGACGTAGTAGCAGTGTAGCAATCAGCCAATCAGAACCTCTACATATGACATTTCACTTCCTTGATATTTTTGGCTAAAACTTCAAGTGAACGCTGATTAGATGAAACGCTTCTTAGTGTTTCCCGATGCTTGCTTGCCTTTTGCAAGAAACTTTCTGGATCACTCCAACATAAATAGCTCGTTGCAAGACCTGAATGTACAAGGTCTGAACCTTTGGCGTCTTTTGGTGTACACCATTGTCTCATACAAGAATAGAGGATCTGTTTGTTATTTCTTTCTTCTCAATTGTCTTAAAGTTGACGCTATATTATGATCAAAACTAGTTAGAATAACTTCTAATGGAAAGAATTTTGAGTTCTGAACAAACTCGAAATATAGAAACAAATTAAGTGGAAGTAAGTGACCAAGAAATCTATTGACATTTATTTGAAATGGAAACCGTCCTTACCTCATCTTATTCTGACGGCAACAAATACCGATTTCAATGTAAGATGGTAATAAACAACTTAATAACATGGACTCTGTTCCTGAATATAGTTATCCACTTAGTTATATTATCACTCCTAGTAGTTTTTATGTATGTATATGATTACATCAATGAGAAGAATCAATCTGAGCTCAACACTCGCCTCATGAATAATTCCATCAAGTAAGTACGAATTATTTTAATGTTTTCACATTTAAAAGCGCTCCTCATTTTTATATTTATGGTTTAGTAAACAACACATTTTAACTCGAGACCTAGTTAGATATTTCTATTAGTACATATGCTTTAATTATACAGTGAACTTCAAATAATGAGATATTATTTATACCAGTTATTATAATTTGCTAGACTATAAAGACTACGGAGGCTTATCGACCAGTGTGAAAAAGGACTTTAACTGAAAGAAGTCAGTGTGGATCCAGAGTTTAATCGGTTTCAAGAATCGGCTTAGTCAACGAAATAAAGTTTTTTGCTCGTGAAAAACCATCGATAAGGTTTATTTACATTACTGCCGAAAACTACATCCTTTTCTAGACCCGATTCCGTATTATACACGAATAATGTAAAGATCTCTGCATAAAATGAGTAATTGAAAATGATGTTGCCAAAATAATCGAAGAACATAGTTACACAACAATGTATAGCGTACTTACTCACATTTCCTCACCTGTATGATTTGACTGGTCAAATGAATTTAATTTCTGCCATTCTGTTCGGATATGTTGTTCATTTAAACTACTTTTGCATAGTTTGAAATTCTATGCAAATAAACGAAAGACAAATTTATGGAAACTGGTTTCTATGTGTTCAAAAAATTCTACTTGTAATTTATTCTAAACTAGGTTAAAGCATATAACTGACCAAGATACATAACGAATCCAATGTTTATTAATTATCTATTGAGACTTTTGACGAAAGATTTATTATTATTAGTAGCTTTATTCATTATTATATTCTTCGTACAATACAGAATTCTCAGTACAAAGTATTTCAACAAGTATCCGTTTCACAGGTTGAAATCATGAGCCAGTTGAAGCTAGACCACCATTGAAAACCTAGAAGCACTGGACGGCCGTCTCGTCCTGATATGGGACTCCTCAGCAGTGCGTATCCACGATCCCGCACCACGCGGGGCTCGAACCCAGGACCTACTGGCTTCGCGCGCGAGCACTTAACCACTAGACCACTGAGCCGGCATCCAACGGTGTTAATGTTTAACTTCAACCAATCCACGAAGTTGCGCCAGCGTGGTTAAGTGCTCGCGCGCGAAGCCAGTGGGTCCTGGGTTCGAGCCCCGCGTGGTGCGGGATCGTGGATACGCACTGCTGAGGAGTCCCATATCAGGACGAGACGGCCGTCCAGTGCTTCTAGGTTTTCAATGGTGGTCTAGCTTCAACTGGCTCATGATTTCAACCTGTGAAATTTCTAAAACTCTCCACAAAACCCATTCTGATAAGTATCCGTTTCTTATTTGTTGGTTGATCCTGACGATAACTATTGAGTGATCATCAGTTAGAAGTTAGCAATTCAAATCTGATTAATGTATATTCTTTTCGTTACATATTGTCAGCAACCACGATGTCTCTGATTGAGCTCTTTTGTAACTTATAGTATTTAATGCATATTTAAATATTATTCTTTATTATAACATACAACAATAACTAACATTAATCACTTACACTATCATCAAAACAATATTTTCGAGCTCCATATTCAGTAAAAAACATTTTCATTCGTTTCATGAGACCCTGAAATAATGAGATTTAATGAGATATAATAAATTTTTACATAAACGAGTATTGATAATTGTTATGTTCACTACTTGATTAACTCAGAATGCGGTATACAACTACGGTACTCGAACGTATTGAACCCTACAGTCGCAAATCATCTCCACCACGTTCTGATTGGACGGAAACTCTTCGGCTCCTTTAAGGCCGTGTTATTTTAAGGGATTTATATTTTGAGTTATCTAACCAAAACTATGATAAATAAAGGACCATCAATTATTACAGAATGTTCTATATATTTCAATCACTAAGTGAAATTTTGATTAAGATCAAAGATAGTAACGTAGTGTAGGAAAATAATTTATATCCACTATTTTTGAAGATGGCAATGATGATTCAGCTGAATCACTTTGATTTTATGGTGACGATCAGACAAATGAGTTTAAACTTTGTGAATAAATTACTATCAAAAGAATATCTAAAGGTGTTTATATTAGGCTTAAACCCAGCTAATCTAGACCTGAACTCTCTGTGAGGTATAATGTCTCATTCGTCTTTGTATATGCTTTTGAAACTGTACAGCATACCTCTCCAACAATATTTGATTTCTCTACAGATACACTATGAGCTTATTGAGTTGTTGCGAACACCTGGGGTTTTCCAATATGCTTCCAGGTTCTTCGGCTAAGACGGAAGCAGTGTCGAGCTGTAGATGGGCACGATGACCGTCAAACTCGCTGACTACAAATTCTCATCGACTATGTTTTGTTCATGAGGCTGCTACCATTATTTTTTGATTGATGCATGAGGTTTATTTCTCCTGGAATAAAATCGCCGTGGACAACGACACACCTTTTTACAGCAGGATTCCTAATATCCTTTATTCTGATATTTACTACAATGTAGTTTTTATATGGGCAAAACTTCTTGTAATGCCACTCACTGCATAATCAGCATGAGGATGGAGGCAGTTTGTTTGAGTTGTCCTGCTTTCGTACAATAGAATCTTCCTGGTCATTTATTACCTGCACGTATGGTGACCGGCCACTGTTTTCAACCATAGAAGTGTCATGTTTCAAGTTCATGAACCTCTGACATTCATCATTCACTTGTAGCGTTATATTTGAACATTTCTAACTCAAAATTCTGGTTCTGATATTGGCATCTTCAGGCGACTTCAAGCTGCATACAAAAGCAAGACACTTGAACTAGTCTTCTGTCATTGCCGATAATTCGGAATGCCCACACTTGGGATTTATTATGCCAATATGTTGCATCCAGTCGTCGTCTCCAGATTTTGTCAACTCAAGACATTGGTAACAAATACTAAACAAAGACGACGGTTCACCAAAGATTTGCGACAAAATTACAACCGTTGTATCAAATGAAAGGTCTATGGGATTGTTGGAGAGAATGAAGTCGATGTACCGTTCGTGTTCAGCTGTGCCAAGTTTGCGTAGCCGTACTCTGACCTTTACGGCATCATCAGATCTTTCTAAGTCGACCTTGAATATATCTACGTATTTCTTGAACCACAATTCAAATGTAACACCACTCAAACCATAAAAATGAAATTCATGGATAGAAGTAATGATGTGATCGACATGGTATTTGAACATATTATCTGTAAACCCCTTTTGGTTTAGGTTTATTTGCTGGGTTGGAGCTTCTAGAACATGAATCTGGAACTGTTCGTAAAGTTTTTTATGACGCCCCAGCAAGGCTTCAACTTGGTCAAAGGTAAATGACATTTTGATAGGTTGACTACGTCGCCAGTTGTTGTATTTAGAGGTTAGATTGTTGACATAATGAGTACAACTTGAGCACTTGAACGCTAGAACCCTCCAAACGCAAATGAGGAGATAGAAGACAAATGAAAGGAATGCGATTCCAAACAGTATTAAACATGGTACAAAATCCTCAGGTATGTGTGATTTTTAGTAAAAACGAAATCATTATAGTCATCCAATCCGCATACAGGGGTTTTTAGCATTTATTTAGTAGGGAAACTACACGTAGAGATTTTGGAATATTCTTCTAAAAGACGATTGGTTGGAATATCTTTAGCTCTTTCTGCGCTACTTAAAACTCTCTCTATTTCACCCGTGCGCCATCCTTAAAGTTTGGTTGAATAGAAATTCGGTTGATTTCAGACCATTGGACAGAATCTACATTGAAATATTGTTCATAAAACTGCACAAATGAATCGACACGTTTTATTATTTTACGATATATTACTAACAACATAAGCAAGTAAACTACAACTTTATATCAAAAATATTTTAAAATGTGAAGTGATCTTGGGGATATTTCCCTTAATATGCAGTATATGTTAATGATTGGTTGACCGATAAAGTCAGAATTCTCAATTATTTTCATATGGACTTGTCAGAATACTTCAGATTGTTAGATTTGTAATTTCAAATCAATTACAGTTGGAAAGTCACCTTAAAGTTGGTAGCGTCCTTTTGAATTGGTGGATTGTTTTGTTGGATTCAGGTTCACTGAATTGAAAGAAACATCATATTTGTAAATCAGGAATTATTGAGTAATTATTAATATTATTAGCTTTCTTCATAATTACATTTTTGGTACAATATAGCATTCTCAGCCCAAAGTATTTCCATAAGTTTCGTTTTCTTATTTCTTGATCGATATTGACGGTAAATATTTAGCGATCGCCAGTTAGATATTAGCAATTCAGAAGTCGACATTTGAATAATACTTATTCTTTACAATGCATATTGCCAGCCATCATGATGTCTCCAAGTGTACATTTTTGTAACTTGCACAGAGTAAGGTTGTAAATGTTTCGTAAACGCACCTGAATAGTTTATGCAATTAATTGACATAACGATCTTTAAAAACAAACAAGGAAACAGATAACTTGTTGAAATATCCAGATCTCAGGAACAGGTAGCCCAGATATTCAAGCAGGCCGCTTCTTTGATGTTTTCGTCTACTTTGATGAAGAGATACATACTTCTTGAAAAACGATATTCCACTAAATATAATGTTCCAAGCTGGGAAATGATTTTATTTGTGTAGGCAAACAGTGGAATATTTGGCAAATAAGACACCCGGCGACAACACGAGTAATACAAGAAGATTTATAAATTCCCTCTACCAGATCGATAACCCGAGAATCAGGTAATTATTTTTTTCAATTCATTTTTTGAAAAATAAATGAATAATCGACTCAGAAATTAAGTCGATAACATTTAATTCTGTACATTATTTGATTGTGGTCATTTTGTTATTATGGAATACCTTTGGCGGTTATTCTTGTAGGCATATTAAACTAATCTTAGTGAGCTCCCGCCAGTTGGAGATAATTTTTATTACCACCTTAATTTCTAACCTTGATGAGTTGCTTAATAATCCTGAAGCAGTATATTTGCATTAGTAGCCGGCTTCAAGATGAATCCCAAACTTTCTAGCGACAGGCCATAACTACTGAGGTTCAGCAATTTTATGAGTAGGAAATTTATCGACGATGAAATTAGGTGACCGTTGAGTAATATCAAGGAATAATTGGAATTATGAATAAAGACTGTTTGGTCCAGATTCAACAGTTTATAAGTATCGTGCTCGCCATGATATTTAGAGGTACTAAGTACAATCCATTAAGAGGTTGTAGCTGTTATAGTAAATCTACTTTACTGATCTTCAGAGTTACTGGACTTAAACAGTGAGGTTCATATTTAAATAGGATAATTGAAACTGTGATATACAAAATGGCGTAAATGTTATTTATACCAAGTTGGGAAGTCTTAAAAGGCGAACGATAGACTGTAGTTGCAATTTATTAAATACACATTTAGAAATATCATAATAGAAACAACCAAATCAACAAATTACATGATAACTTACTAGAAATTTGTCACCATGATATGGTCCTCCTGACAGAGTATAGAATTTATCCATTCTCGATAATTCTTTTAATTTATTTTCAAATCTGTCTCCATGTAAATGATGATATTTTATATTTTGTCGATAATTAATACTAAATAGAGGTTTATGGTATAACTTACAGTTTTTGTACACTTTAACACTGGCGTTTGTAATCTTGATTGTTAATTAATAAGAAAAAGTAGAAGATGAGAAAGAGGGGAGGGAATGTTAGATATAAGATATACACAATCAAAGATGAACAATTTTTTCAATCTTTGCAACTGTGAAAATTAACGTATAAGCTTTATCTGTTTTAGACGATGTATGAACGTTGACTGAGATTATTATTCTCTCTAATACATTCCTTTTGAACTACTTTTCTGTAATGAGATGAATATCATTAATTCTCTTCTTTTCTTTTTCATCTTTATAATTTCTTTTCTCATATTGTATTTGTTCTGATATCGGGACAGGGTGCACATATGCCAACAAATGTCTGATCGGTTGCAGTCCTAGACGACTATGGGAAGATACAAGCAAACAACATTAAGGGAATTTAAACTTCACTCCATTGCATACGGCAGGTGGCTGTCAGGACTCAGTGGCTAAATGGATAAAGCGATGGCGTTTGAAGCGAATGGTACTGAGTTCGAGGCCCGGAGTAAACACCAACTCTCAGGTGCAGGTACATCCGGCTGACGAGTTTCAAAAGGGACGAAACGCGCATCCTGGATTCCACTGTTAGCCGCTATCCATGTTTGCTTATAATGTAAGAATCAATGGTTTAATAACACACTTCATTTTGCAAAGAATCACGAACAAAGATGAACAACCAGTTTTTTATTGAAACATGTCTACATTCTTATGATTAGAATCAGTTTATCCTTACAACAACATTGAAACATAGTTTCAATTTCAGTTTTAAGGATTCACAAACTTGAACTATTGTTTGTATCTATTTTTTTGTCTTAGAATATGTCAGTTGATTTATCTGCTGGAAAATACATATTACTTCTAATCCGATTGAAGTATTCAAATGACATGATAATCATACACATGGTCTGTTTACAGAATATAATTACTAAACCTTTCGATATCTTTCATGGTATTTTTATTCAGATTAAGGAAGCCACAATGTGATTTACTTCCATTTATTGTTCAGTATAATTTTAATAGTTGAATTCATGAGTCAATAGGAGCTAGACCACAATGGGAAACCTGAAGGCACTGGAAGGACGTTTCGTCCCATTATGGGACTCCTCAGTGGCAGTCTCATGCACGATCTTGCCTCGCGAGATTCAAACCCAAGATCTATCAGTCTAGTGGTTCCAGGTTTTCCATGGTGGTCTAGCGTCAATTGACTCATAAATTCAACTATTAAAATTACTATAATATCCACAAAACCTCTCTTTGATTATCTTCAGTATAAATCTACATTTATAAGTAACCGGAGTATTCTGATTTACCGTTATATTTTCATCGAGTTGTTGTTCATCTTTGATATTCTGGTTAATAAGCAAGTCTAATAATCAGGTCTTAATTTCAAAAGTTATTGAACAGCCTATAAATTAAGAACCGTTCTTTTTCTCAATAATTTTTAATCATGTTTATTTTGTGTAAAATATTTTGTACATAAATGTATGATTTTGTCGTATGTTACGACTGAGGATTCCCTGACAAGTTATTCTATCTTTCATTATGCGTTGGTTGTAGGCTTAAGAGTGTTTTATGGAGTTTTGGTGAGTAGCCACATTAATCTTATTAATTTAAATGATCATTCAAATAACCAACACAATTCAAACAGGATTTGGGCAGTTATTACAACTGTTGTTAAAAGATTAACAGTTTAAAACAATATCTTCCTAAAACGATAATTTGAAATCAGTTGTCGAGTCAGAAGAAACTAATTTATTAAACTTCAGTTAAAACTCATCATAATATGGCAGGAACGTTGGTCTAAACAGTTAAACCCTGAACTGCAATAACAACTAATTGATACAATCAATAATACAATTAATGCATTTTATACAAGAATAAAGAACGGATACATATTAAGGGAGTAATTAAGACAAGTTCTTACGGAATATTTTTTTCAGACAGTCTTGCAAAAAAAACTGACCAAATATAGTAACTGAATTATTAGATACGAGAGAATAATTGGGATTATTATATATATATATATTATTCGTTTGTATTAGTTTTGGCCAGCCTATAACCTGCTCAAATTGCTTCAGCATTGCCATTACTTCATAAGCGTTATAAGCAGAGGTGTATGATGGTTAGCAGTGTAATCTACGACACGCGTTTTATCCTATTTGGGACTCGTCGTCTAGATGTGCCTGCACCACAGAGTTCACGTTCATTAGGGGATTTATTATATAACATAATAACCATGTATTTGTTTACAGCATTTTTATATTGCCTTGAATAAATCTAGTTGTAATTGCTAGTTTATTATGTTCTCAGGTTTGATAAAATGCTACTAAAACATCTCGAACTTATTTGCTTATAATTCCGATTGCGATGAACTATTGATGTTTATCAGTAAAACTGAAATAATGAATATTATCACCTATACTAATTGTACGTCTCTAAGTGTTTTGGAAGTATGTATAACAATTTTAGGAAATTTAAAGAGTAATTTAGCACATTATTACTTTATATATTCATAAATACCAACATACTTCAATAATTAATGTAATACGTTTGTTAGTATTGAACTGATAATTCGGTAAAGGTACTATTACAAGACCGGCATGATTTACTAAACCTGACCCAATATAATACGTGGAAATTTTTGGAGTTGGTTCCAGACTATAAAATAATTCATGATGTATCCATAGTTCCATACATTCACCAGTTTTACCCCATTGGTTTAATCCGATAGCCAAACGTATACGATTCAAGTTATCTAGACGACTGAAGAAAAATGATCGTCCAGGATATAATCTTGGATATGGTATCATTTCAACCAAAAAGCTGACTGGCAGTAATGGTGTGTGGGACAAAGATATATCATTTCGGCCATTGTAGTCCAATTGCAGTGTTTCAGTAGGACTGGAAGTTTGTAAGGTCCGGTTTTCCCATTGATTACAATCTGTTCCAGATGTTGTGCCTGGATTGAAGTGAAGATAATCATGATCAACCTTGATTGGACTTAATAGGTCAATATATTTCTCAGCTGTAGCATAAAAATTGATAAAAACAAATGAATGGACATGGTCAGTCTTTGTAATATATATAGAACATAATTCATTTTCGTCGTCAGAAATTATTGATTTAACGTTAGTGTACTATTACCAGTACTACTTAGAAATGATCCAACTTTTTGTGTATAATGCGTCAAACTACTTGGTGGTAAATCAGTAGACAAGATCTACATAATAATATCTTTAACTTGACTAGTTATAGTGAACGAAAATTTCAACACTTAAAACTTGGAAAATAATTCAGGATTATGTCATGGAAGATGAGTGGCGCACATAGGCGAAAACAAAATACGAATTTGTTACTGAGGCAAAGTGAAGATCACGAAAATTAGACGACACGAGTAAGAGTGTTTGTTACGTGTTCCTTGGTTATAGTAATAAATGACTTACAAACAACTGAAATTAAAGATTAATTTCTTAACTGGTATCTTCCTAGCTTTCGCCACATAGGTGAGACGGTGCCTAAAGGTCTTGATAATGTGTGCTGAAATAAAATAGAAGCTTCCTGAAAACAATAACTTCTTTGTCCTGCTCATTTATCAACGTTTTGAATATTATGTGCAACTTAATTACTTAACTACTTACGCCTGCTACCCCTCAAGGAAGAGCATAGGCCGCTCACTAGCAGTCTCCATCGAACTCTGTCACGGATAACACTTTCTAGTCCTTTCCAATCACTTTTCGTCCATTTAATATTTGCTTCTAATTACCGACATATTGTGTTCTTTGGTCTTCCACTTTCCGGGTTCCATTCAGGATTACAAGTTAGCGCTTGTCTCGTGATACAAATTGATGATTTCTTCAATGTCTGTTCTACCCACTTCTGAATTTTTTTCCTAATTTCATCTTCAGCTCAAAGCTAGTTTGTTCTCTTCCACAGTAGGCTGTAGCTGATGGTATCCGGTCAACAGACAATGAGTATCTTACGTAGACAATAGTTTATAAATACTTGTACATTTTTGATGATGGTTGCAGTAGTTCTTGAATTTTCACCTCTGTAATGTAGAAATGTCTTGAAATTCGGATTGAAGATTATGATTTTGATACCGATTAAAATTTGTTTTGAGTTCCATATGTTCTTCAACTGCAGGAATTTTACACTTACTTTACCATTCCTTGTCTTCATATCTTCATCAGATCCTTTTTGTTTATCGATGATGCTGCTCAGATACGTGGACATTTCCACCTGTTCCAGATCCTGTCCATCAAGTGTGACTGGGTTGACGCTATCTGTGTTGGTAGGGTGGGAGCTACAGGAAAACATTTGAGTGTTGCTTCAATGTCCGTTGGGTTCAGTGGAGCTGTTCTTAAATCTCAGCGATTGGATTGCCTTCTTTGTCCTTGACTGGTCTTGTGGTGCGTGCTACATATATTGACATAAGTAGTATATAACGCGAGTCAGGAATGTAATATCTGGCAACAGAAGATTGGGAAGATCAAGATCCTTCACTACAATCTCTCTGGTTTACAATATACCCTTTTATTTTCTTCGTTGTATCATATAGTTGCCACATATTCCCTTCTCTTGCAGCTTTTTCTGGCGTCGTTGCTAGCTCTTCCACTTATTTCTGCTTGTCAGCTCTAATACTCTTTTTCACTTGCTTGCTTGCTTCTGTGTATTCAGCTTGTGTTTTAACTTCCTCTGTTCTTGTTCAGCTGGCTGTTTTTGATTGCTGTCTTTCTGTTCTTCCTTTTTTTGATTCTGTCCAGGGTTTCCATACTGATCCACTCCTTGTGATGATGCTTCATGAGGTTCAGCACTTCTTTACACGTTGAAGTTAGTGCTTCTTTGATATGTTCCCAGTTGCCCTTCATAATAGTTTCATCTTCTTCGAGTAGATTTTGTACGGCGTGGAACCTGATGTTGAGAGTTATCTTGAATTGGTCGATTTTTTTAGTACCTTGAAAGAAAGATGTATTGGGTCTTTGTAATTCTGTTTCCCCAGCTGTCCAGTGCTTCCTCAGCTTTAATTTCATCTTGGACACAACCGGGTGGTGATCTGAAGCTACGCCAGGTCCTCTGCTGGTTCTCATATCTCTAATCGACCTACTGAATCCTTTATTGGTGCAAACGTGGTTAATTTGGTTCGCTGTAGTGTGATCCTGTGAGACCCATGTAGCTCTATGTATGTGTTTGTGGGGCATTATTGTGCGACCTATAACAATTCTGTTGAGTATATATAGATTTCCAAATCTCTTGCCATTCTCGTCTTTTTCTCCTAGTCAGTCTATGTCATCCCATGATGTCCTCATACGCAGTGTTGTCCATTCCAAAGTTGTCGTTTAGATCTCTCATCATGGTGGTCATTTCCCATCCTGAGAGCTTCTTTACGAGTGAAGCCTCTCGTAAAACTGATCTTGATCGTCGCTGTTGCCATAATTTATAAGTATATAACGTTGAATAACATTTATTGTGATCCCTCGTTCTTTGTTTTGAAGGATGCTTTGGTGATTCTGGATCCATGAGATTACCGTCTTATAAATGATTTACGTGCTTCCATGGACAGCATCAGAGCAACTCTATGCGTGTGCGAAGCATTTTCTTCTTCTTGGCTCGAGTACAACAGCATTTCTCTCGAGTCTAACATTTTCTGTACAGCTTGGGTTCATTTGGTTCCACTTATTCCGAGAACCGCCAAGTTGTATCTCCTCATTTCCGCAGCTATTTGAATGGTCCTCCCAGGTTTTCCACAATGTCCAAACATTCCATGTACCTACAATAATTATTACTTTGGATATTAGAAGTGAAAATGGCCTCATCACTTTTAGAGAATCTCAACTTTCACCATAAGACGTCATAATTCTTCTAAACGAAGGTCCTTCAACTTAGAGGGCACAGTTTAAATGGTTTGAATGGCTTATTCTGGTTAGCATCTTGTTAGTAAGGCTGTTGTCTACGGAATGGAGTCGCTGATACCATACTCAACCCTCGTCCTTTACTCGGGATTTGGAACTGTAGCAACCTTAGAAGGGTGATAGGAGTTGTGTATATTACTTAGTGATAATGAATTACTAGGAACATTTATGAACAAGTACATTGACGAAGATCATAGAATATTCGCAACAAATATTTTTCACAACCGGGCATAATTCTTTAATTTATATGCATCTGATACTAATTATAATAGAAAATGAATGACAAACTGAATTCACGTCCTCCTCTCCATGTTCGTCACTCAAGTGCTCTTATGGAATCGATTAATGCAAGTACGCATTCAATCAATCTTATCAGATATTGGAAGACGTATACTTGGTTGACTAACTGTAACAGAATATTAAGTTGAGTTAGATAAAAAAAATCTGACTGGTTCATCACATACCATACAGTTTACTGGATTGTTTGTCAATATATCCTCCTTCATTATTCATTATTATTTTCACTGAGAATTGTGAACTGATAAACACTGTTAACTGATGCATAATCACTTGATTGAAATTACTTTGATAAACTATGGCAATATATGCCTATTACTTAAACAACTATGAATAGAAATGAACTGAAGATATAATAGTTTGTTGTAAATAAATACAAGAACACATTAAATTGTACGAAAATAGTTGTCCTTTATATTCATTTAACGGTATTCCAATAAGTATGATTACTTATGATACAACTTACGTAATGGATAAAAAGAATCTGCTGATGGACGTTTCATTGTAATGGAATTCGATGAATAGCATGATGATGTGTAAATGAGGTGAATAAATATCATTAATTTCCATTTAAAAGTTTGTTCAAACGATAAATATTGATCAACAGTATGCATATTTTCGTCCAAATGTTTATCAGCTTTTAGACAAAAATCTGAATGAACCATAAACAGAATTATACAATATCGGTTTCATTGGATCTGTTGATATTCTTTCAACATTTACGCAATCTGCCAAACAATAAAAAAACGAGAACATTCCTTACAGTTTGGTATCAAAATTTTAACAGACATCAATTCATCTGTAAACTGACATCAATATTACGGAAAGTTGGCAACATATCTTTTGATATAATTTTCAATAAGAACGACGAAACGTCATTCTTAAGAATAAAAAACATGGATATTCACCATTGTTATCTGCTTTAATATTGTTTATTCATTATGTTTGTTATTTATTTCTATCGCAATACAAATAGCGACTTGTAGTCCATTTCAAGCAAGTTTGCTGAGATTATTTCAGAATATAATTTTCATATAAAAATGTATAACAGTATAAGAAAGCAACTGTGTGCGGTAAAATATTAAAGAAGAATATTTACGTCTGGTTAATCTAGTTTGTCAGTCATGAAGAGTTTTCGGAAAAATAAGCTCAGTTATGTCCTCCAGTTGTGAAAACTCAATATCGCCAACACACTAACCATCTGTTTAGTTTTGGCTGAAGAATAAAATCCCCAGAATTTTAGAAATGCTCCGATCAATCAACGTCCCTTGGGAACTTGCAAGAGAATTCTAGAAAACGACGAATCATGTTTTAATTTCTTGATTGAACAGTTACTGAATTTACTTCTAACTTTAACATATTTTTCAGACACTTCTAGGAGTCTAAAGTCATCCATGATACTGTAATTCCCTATTTTTCTGTATATAAGTTAATTAAAGCTTCTTCCATACTTCATGCCTTACATTCAGGATTTATAAGTAAATATCTGAAAACTAGGAATGAAAAGGAATTGGCTCGATCCTAATAATAACTCGTTTTGGTGCTGAAACTGAAAGTGAAACTCATACAGATAACTTGATCAGTAATGCTAGTTACGTTTTTTCCATCATTTGACACAATAAAAATACATTCATTCGTACATGAGGCGTATATTAATAAAATTGTTATGAAGAAAGTATTCTACTTCATTTTCTGAGCAGTTAGCGTAAGTGCATTGACAAGCATTCAGTTTCACTTTTTATTCTGTGCTAATTGATCTCATAAAGCAGTTCTTGTCCGTAGGTACTCAGGTTACGAATACTGTACTTAAGAATTAATCTATGATTAAAAAATTGGTTCAACAGTCGTAGTGAGTGATAATTCCCTGTTAAATTTAATAGTTGTTCTAGTACTTTCTATACAGCAATCTTGAATTCAAATGAAACTGTTGTCTATTACTCCTTGATTTTCAATGGTTGTTCTATGGATTTCAGAATGTAGGGAAAACCATTTTCAAACTAAACTATTCACCTCTTCAAATCTTTTAATCAAAGAAAAAGGCAACTAATTAAATAGACTTTCTTAAATGCAGTATAAAAATAGTGACAGTTCTAGAACATAAAAAGCATATAAGCAAAGATGGATAGTGGATAGTTGTGGAATCCAGAACGTGCATTTCATCCTAAAAAGCATATAGCTAAACATATCAACTTGTTGATATTAAAAAGATGTAATAAATAGTCATGCGACTTTATATCAACCTATTCACTGTTTCTTTTAACTTAAGTACAATCAAAATTTAGTTTTAACAGATAACATAGAGAGAATAGTAATAATAGTTACAATCAAAAGTTAACTGTTATATTTTGTAACCGGTTCAAATCCTTTGATCCTATAATCTCTCTTCCTTTAAGTTGTCTTAATTAAAATGTAACTTAACAAAAAAATATGAAAACACTTGAAATTTTTATTTGTATTTTATAAAGTCTAATTAAATGTCAATAAATTAGTTTAATAAGTTGTTGTTTAAAATTTTGTCTTTTTCCTTTTCAGTACAATAAAGTCAAATAAATAAGCAGTATAGCTTTTAATTATTGTCCTTTTTAAAGATTGATTTCACCTTAAAATAAATTCAATATGCAATTTGTAGGATGTTCAATGGGTTCAAATCCCGCAGTCGGGGTCGTGGATGCGCACCTCTAAAGAGTCCCACGATAGAACGAAACGGCCGTCCAATGCTTACAGGTTTTTAATGGTGGTCTAACATCAATCGGTTCTTGATCTCAATCAAAAAAATAAAGCGTTAAAGTAATTAGTTGTTTATACGAGATTACAGTGGAACTTAGATCTCATCAATTCAACATTGAAATTATTTAAAACAGGGGGATTGATAGTAACTAGGCGGCCTGCTTGAATGTCTGGGCTACCTGTTCCTGCCATCTAGATATTTTAACAACTTACCTGTTTCCTTTTTTGTTTTAACAGATTTTTATGTCAATTAATGGCATAATCTGTTCAGATACGTTTGTGAAATGTTTGCGACCTTTCGTCGTACAAGTTAGGAAAGAGCACTTTCAGAGGAGCTGTGGTTGCTGGCAATAATAATAATAACAATAATGATAATAATAAACACTTTATTCAATTATCAGGACAAAACAACAATATATTTTATTCCTGTTCGAAAACATGTTGAATGGCAATATTTGTAAGGATTGATATCATAAAAAATTTCACAACAGTGATGAACTCACTATTCGTCTGCATCCTAAAAGCTTTTCAATCTGTTCTACTCATACCACTACTATTTTTCATCACATACTAACTAGTGAGAATTTTCTGGTTGACTGTTTCACTAATTCATACTAATATAGTCTAAGGGCTTTCTATAAAATGTACATGAGAACATCACGTGGATAACATAAATAGTATTTGTATACTAGTGCAAAATAATGCAAAATAATCCAATGGTTTAATGTGCATATAACATACATAAATGATTGTGTAACACCAGTATTCTCATTTATCAGTCCCGATTGTATGTGGTAGCATTAGAAAGTGAAATGTCTATTTCATAATGTGTTGGGATACTCAGAAAAATATCCCAGAAACAATTATCCGGTTAAGTCTAACGCTACCCTTGAACGTTAAATGGTGTCATTTCCCTATTGGTCGTTTCCCTACTGATCAATATTTATTTCGCGTGTCATTTTCCTATTGGTCAATATTATTTAACGTGTCATCTTTCTGTTGGTCAATATTTATAGTAATCCTAACTGTATAAATATGCATTTGTTTGTAAGTCATTATTCTGCTGCTCCTGACCCCATAAACGAACTTTCATCTACGGTTGGTGTTCTGATATATTGGAGATTGGGAACAGTATTGGGGTCGAACTGGGATATCTGAAGCTTGTCAATTGGTAGAATTTAGAGTAGCCAACTCGCGATTCACAATATAATGACTTTATGAGGGTACGGAAAAAGGTCTATAAAATTCGTATGATGTCATATGGGCAGTTCATCAAAGTAAAACAGGTGTTAGATAACGGTTCAACAGTATAAGAGCCTCAGTTTAATTTTGTGATAAATGAACACGGATTTAGCAAAAATTTTTGTTCATTGCTATTACAAATCACACTCGGTAAATCATACGTTATGCAAATAATTTCTTTTTCTTTTTAGTTGCAATTCCTTTCACTTAACACTGTTGGAAATTATCGTAGTAAAAGTGTTCGATTTGATTAGTGGTCTAAAGTAACATGGAGCAATTACTGATAAGATTCAAATCAGATTTAGTTACAACATTTCGCCAGCTAACCACTGTTTGTTCTCATAGCATGTCTCACGGAATGATTTTATTAAGCCAACGATTGGAAACCAAGGAGCACTGGATAGCCGTCTCGTCTCACCACGAAATTACTCAGCAGTGTTCATCCTTTGACTACACCGGGGAGATAACCTGAAACCTTCGATCTCATGAAGAGCAATTAACCACTAGACAACCGGGCTGCTCTCCAGTGGTTTGCATATTTTATTCCTATTGGTTTAGGACATTGTTTAACCATTTCTGATTGCTGTCTGAGAATAGCTGTCTCACACTAGACGCGATTGATTTTCACTAGTTACGGCTTCTGAATAGAAAACCTGGAATTAATTTCAAATTTAGTTGAGGATGAAACAACTGTTCAGGGCTTTCAGATTTCCAGTGGTTGTTTAACTGAGATCATTAAGTTATGTAAACTGTGGTAACTCAATAACCTCCCCAAACACTTCTATACTACCAATAATACTTGCATTCTCATCAGTGACTAACTTAATAATATGGCATCGTGGACAGAGCACCTGGATTTTAGCAGTTATCATGAAGGTGCCTGGATTTCATTCTGTTCGAGTCCAAATTAAGACAAATAAAGCACATAAAACGTTTTCTAATTTCAAGGTGGTCCTGGGCCTGGTCTCATGTCAGGATTAAAAACTATTAACTATTTATTGATTTGATTTCTTATTTAAATAATGCCTCAAACGGGCTTAGTTCAAAGTAATTTATTCATTTGTAATACTAACTCCCAAATATTAACAGTAGATTATTATAGTTTGTATTCTCTTTATTCATTCCTTGTTCTCTGATTTTTTGTTATTTCATAAGAATTAAATATTTCTAATGAATTGTTATCTTCCATGTTATCTTTCACTGTGGTCTAGTGGTCAAGTGCTCGCACACGAAACTAATGGATCCTGCGTTCGAATCTCGTGAGGTGGGGTCATGGGTTCACATTGCTGAGGAGTCCCACAGTAGGACGAAACGGCTGTCTAGTGCTTCCACTTTTTCCATGGTGGTCTAGCTCCAATCGACTCATGATCTCAACTATTGAAATTACTATAATATCCACAAAACCCCTTCCGATATTAATCTTTCATTATAGCGATAATAATGACATCGTTAAAAGTACCAAAACGGATAAACTTGCCCATTGTAAGTACTGAATAAACATTTACATAAAAACTAATCTCAACATCTCTACGTATAAACTATCTGATTTAATAATTCAAATTATGAAATCTGACATTATTTAACAGTTCCATTGACATTTATCATTTACGTCGATTATGTAAATGATGTTATTATTATGAAAAAGATAAACACGATAATGATCAAGAAAAATAACATGGTTTTATTTCCCCTTTGA